AAGGGCTAATATCCAGAATCTACAAAGAACTCAAACAATTTACAAGAAAAAAAAACAACCCCATCAAAAAGTGGGCAAAGATATGAACAGACCTCTCAAAAGAGACATTTATGAAGACAAACAGTCACATGAAAAGATGCTCATCATCACTGGTCATCGGAGAAATGCAAATCAAACCACAATATAGAATACCATCTCACATCATGGAATGGCAGTCATTAAAAAGTCAGGAAAAACAGGTGCGTGAGAGGATGTGAGAAAATGGGACACTTTACACTGTTGTGTGTGGTAATTGTAACTGTTAACCATTGTAGGGGAAGTAGTTGTGGCAATTCCTCAAGGATCTAGAACTAGAAATACCATTTTACCAGCCATTCCCATACTGGTATATACCCAAAGGATTATTAATCATGGCTGCTATAAGACACATGCACACGTATGTTATTGCGGCACCTATTCACAATAGCAAAGACTTGGGAACCCAACCCAATGGTCCATCAATGACGACTGGATTAAGAAAATGTGGCACATGTACACCATGGAATACTATGCAGCCAGTAAAAAAGGTAGTTCATGTCCTTTGTAGGGGACATGGATGAAGCTGGAAACCATCATTCTGAGCAAACTATCCAAGGACAGAAACCAACACCGCATGTTCTCACTCATAGGTGAGAACTGAACAATGAGAACACCTGGACACAGGGTGGGAAAATATCACCACACCGGGGCCTGTCATGAGGTTGGGGGAGCTATTGTCATAGCATTAGGAGATACACCTAATGTAAATGACGAGTTAATGGTGCAGCACACCAACATGGCACATGTATACATATGTAATAAACCTGCATGTTGTGCACATGTACCCTAGAACTTAAAGTATAATTTTTAAAAAGGGAAAACATAAAAAATAGAAATAAATAAATAAATAAAACTGTTGGGGGCATGCCACATGAACAGCTGTCAAAAAAAAATAGTGGTTATCTCTGGAAAGTGATCTTTCCAACCTTCTTCTTACTTATCTATGTATTTTAATGTTGGCATACAGAGACTATATACAAAAAAAAAAAATAAAAAGAAAGCAGCAGCAGCAGCTGCTTCAAAACTTTCACCAGTGAGAAATTCCACAGAAAAGCTCAGAACATTCCTAACAAGGGTCCCTTTATCTATGCACTTAACGTATCATATGGAAATTAATTAGTTTTCTGCCTCACTAAATGTGGCCTCCCACAAAATAAGAATTGTAGTCTCACTCTCAATTTCTTTTTTTATTCCTAACGCCTATTACACTGTGTGGCATAATAGCAGGCTGAGGGCTGGGCACGGTGGCTCATGCCTGTAATCGCAGCACTTTGGGAGGAAGAGTAGGCGGATCATTTGAGGTCGGGAGTTCAAGACCAGCCTGACCAACATGGAGAAGCCTCGTCTCTACTAGAAGTACAAAATTAGCCAGGTGTGGTGGCGTATGCCTGTAATCCCAGCTACTTGGGAGACTGAGGCAGGAGAATCGCTTGAACCCAGGAGGCAGAGGTTGCGGTGAGCCGAGATCGTGTCATTGTATTCCAGCCTGGGCAACAAGAGCGAAACTCCATCTCAAAAAATAATAACAATAATAATAGCAGGCTGAAGCAGTAACTTTTCACAGAGAACCCAAAAGTCTGTCTAAGAAACCAAAGGTTTAGATTCTGCACAGAAAACCAAGAGAGTGACCTATGAAATAGCCAAGACTAGCCACAGAATCTCTCACTAAATACAAATTTCGTTTAACCAGCTCAGACAAAAAATCCTGGTATATTCCTGCACCTCCCCCTTCTCTCTCCCAATCCATTTACAAATTCAACTGAAGGAATCCTGTTGTTTCGACATTTAAAACGTGTTCTCACAACCATTCTCACCATTTCACTGCCACCATGCTGGTCCAAGCCAGAAGTCATCTCTTGCCCACACACCTGCAATAGTCCCCTGGTTGGTCTTCAGGCTTCCACTCTCCTGCACTTTAGCCTTCACACAACAGAGTGACCTTGAAAAAGGCAAATCTAATCATGCTACTCTAAGCTCAAAGCCCACACTAACTTCCCATCACATGGAGAATAAAAGCCAAAGTGCTTTCTATGGCTCACAGCCCTTCATGATCTGCCCTAGACTTTGAACTCCTCTCCTTCCCTTTGGTTCACAGGTCTCCAGCCACGCTGGCCTGCTGACTATTCCTGAAACTTGTCAAGCTCCTTCCTGCCTCAGGGCCTCTCTCTTCCCTACTCCCATGTTTTTCCTCTTTGCTGGAAATGCACTTCTCCTTAAAAGTGACCTTTTCAAATAGGTCTTTTTGTTTAAAAGTCACCTCATCAAAATACCTATCTTGAATCACTTTTTAAAAAATAGCAATGCTTTCCAACCAGCCTTCACTGTCTCTTCCTTTAACCTGCTCAATTTTTCTTCAATGCGTCACCTGCCATAACATTATGTATGAATTTGGTATATGTCTATCTCCTCCACTAGAATGTCCATTTGGGAAAGGACTTTGCTTTCTTTACCACTCGATTTCAGGTACTTAGAATAGTGCCTGCCACATCAGAGGTATGAAATAAATATGAGATAATGAACTAGGTGAATAAATAAATAAATGAATAATATCACCAATATATGTTTCAAGTTCTTATACAAACACAATATTTGACCCACTGTCTACTATAAACCGTAGACTATTTCCTGACGTCAACACCATAAAGGGATGTTACAATAAAGCAGGTGGGATAACAGTCTCACATTACTAAATAACAATACTGATCTGATGTTGACGATTATTACTTTTTTTTTTTTTTTTTTGAGACAGGGTGTCACTCTGTTGCCCAGGTTGGAGTACAGATCACGGCTCACTGCAGCCTCAACCTCCTGGGCTCAAGCAATCCTCCCACCTCAGCCTCCCTAGTAGCTAGGACCACAGGTGCATGCCACCACGCCCAGTTAATTTTTTAATTTTTTATAGAGACAGGGTCTCACCAGATTGCCCAGACTGGTCTTAAACTCCACCTGCCTCTGCCTCGCAAAGTGCTGGGATTACAGGCATGAGCCACTGTGCCCAGCCTGATGATTATTTTCAATAGGCCTTGTGTTTCTTAAGCCCCAAAAGCCTTCTCATTTCTCATCCCACTGCCATTTGAGACCCATATCCACCTGACTGAAACCTCAAGGTTTTTCTAAGAATTTATGAAGAGATTTAAGAAATCTCTTCAAATTGTTCCTATGAGGAAGTTATTTCATACTATGAGCAAATTCATTTTCATGAAGTATCTATAGTAACCAAACATTGTTTCTTAGCTCTGTAATACAGCACAATAATCTGACTTACTGACTTACTGACTTACTCTATATTTCCCATTGGCTTAATTTTATTTATTTATTTATTTAGGTAGAGATAGAATCTCTCTATGTTGGCCATGCTGGTCTTGAACTCTTGGCCTCAAGAAATTTTCCCACCTCAGCCTCATAGACTCTTTCTATGTTGGCCACGCTGGTCTTGAACTCCTGGACTCAACAGATCCTCCCACCTTGGCCTCCCAATGCTCTGGAACAACCGGCTTGAGTCAACATACCAGCACCCATTGGCTTAATTATTTCAGTAAAATGAGGCAAAGAGGAACCCTACAAAATGAACAGAGGCATTCTCAAAGCAGATATAAGTGAAGACTCAGAGTATACTGTGGTCAACTGTGTTCTATATCACAAGTAGTTTGTCAACTAAAAATAAAGTACTAAAGTTTGGGAATGACTTACTATAAAAATACATTGGACAATGGTCAATGTCATTTACAACATTCACCTCCTTTCTGATACACATCTCAGGAAAAAACAAACAAACAAAAAAAAACGACTAAGTACCAGGTTAGAAATTTTGCATAACCGCAGGTGACCACCTTGTCATGGAAATAAACTTAGAATGGTGCTCCTGAAAGTCAACCACAGTGCTTCAAAAACATGATTTTTCAAAAAACCAAAGTAAGCATACCACATAGTATAGAGACCAGGCTAGGGAGTTGACCTGGGTTAGAATTCCATTTCTTTCCATTTAGTTGCTGTATGATATTGGTCACCTTCCTAATTTCTCTGTGTTCCATAATTCCATATTATCCATAAAATTCAGATATGAACACTTACTATATAGAGTTGTTATGAGGATTGGACAATGTATGCATCCCACAAGTAGATCAATTACAAGCACATCTTGCCCCATGTAAAGGCAACACGTGGCAACGCTGTGCAAGAGGGAACAGCAAAAGTAGTTGGAGGATGGAAGTCAGTTTGCAAACCTATGCGCACAGGCAGCCAAACAGGAAAACGTCCCCCACAAGTAGTCTGTAAATTGGAGACTCCATTGAGATATATACACACACACACACACACACACACACACACACACACACACACGCCCTGAGAGGAAACAGCACCTTTGTTCATCACCAAGTTAGCCTTAGAAATTATTTACCCATTATTAGCCACACTAGCACTGACAAACCCAACTTTACTCTTGTAGGTCATTCTCCACAGCGTCTGTGCTGCATCAATCCCAAATCTGACTCCCTGACGCTTAAAAGCGAAAATAAAAAACCGAGACATTACTCAATAGAGTTAACCCTTACTTAGCAAAACGCTGTTGTCCCCTGTAGCGTGCAGATAGTAAAGACAGTAATTCCCGACCTTATGCTTGTCAGTGACAACATGCCCTTTGTATACACGCTTCAGTCGAGAACGACTGCGGTAAATAAACTGCTAGTAGCAATACTGTTCCTCTATCTAAACTTCCGCTTTCCAGAGTTACTGATGTCCCAACATGGGTCCGTCGCTCATCCGTCAAGCCCGTACCCCATAGCCTGGGCATTTCCCCCAGCAGATCACAAGATGCAAAGGGGAAGTTACTGCCAAACCGACAAGAATGGCCCACAGCTGGGGGCTGCCAGGCGGTTCCTGGGCCCCGCTCAGCACCAGAGGAAGGCGGCCGCATGCCGTACCTGGATCAGGCCCTGCTGGAACAAGGCGCTGTGCACGCAGCCGGGGACCGCGCCGGGCAGCTCCAGCGAGCCGTTCCCATTGCAGATGCTCCAGTTTCCCCGCAAGCTGTAGCTAAGCGCCGCAGCGGTGGTCTCTGTACCGCACAGCGCGAGCAGCAGGAGTAGGTGGAGGCGCATCTTGGGAGCCCGCGCCACAGAGATGTGGAAGGATAGAAAGGCAGCGCTGCAAGAGACCGGCGGGGAACCCACTCACCCACTCGGAAGGAGCGGAGGCTTTAGGTCCCCGCCCCGGCCCCGCCCCCAGGTCAGCTGAGCGCTCTCCCGGCGCCGCCGCGGGCTGCAGGAGAACGAGGAGCCTGCGCCTGCACCCGGTGGAAGTCCGGCGTCGCGGCTGCGGTAGCTGCAGCCCCCGAGAATAGCTACAGGCTGGGGGGCATTGCGGTCTGAGCCCTCCTTCAGTGCTCCTTCCCGCCGCCTCAGTACATACAACTGGAGGCAAGAACCTTGCACAGTAATTGGGACATAAAGATCCCTGGACGCGAAGTGGCACAAAGCCTCGGGAGATCAGAGACCGACTGTACGTGGAGACCACAGCTGGAGAGGCCCCTCTCTCCTTCAGAGAACCGAAACTGGGAGACAACCCACACTTCCCTTCCCCCAAATTTAGACAGACCCTCATCTACCTGGTAGCGTAACCCTCATCCCCCTGCAGCTCAGCTCGCGGGTCTCAGAGCCTACCCCTCCCTTCAAAGAGTAAAAAAGTACTAGCAGTACCTCACAGTACCTAGCAGTACCTACCAGTCACAAGGTTGTTCCGAGGGCTAACCAAGAAAATGAGACTACAGCATGTAGCATGCAGCATGCAGCATGGAACCTGGCCCACAGAAGGCACTCACGTTAGCTATTGTTACTAGCGGCCTACGTCCTTATGTTTCATAAAGCCCCACGGAGGTTTCTGAGGTTCTGGAACCTGCCCTAGGCGCGCAACTGAGTTTAAAATCCTCTGCACTCACTAGCTGTGGGACTTGGGCAAGCCGCAAAATCTCCATCTCCGTTTCTTGAAGTTTTCAAGTTGCTTTAAAATGAATTAACATATGTGATCGTCCCTAACAATGCCAGAGTACCCAAGAAATACCAAGGACTTATTTCGGGTGTTGTAGTCAAATGGCCTACCTGAGTCCCATTCGTTCAATAGGATGTAACAGTGATCCCAGAAGTTAAGAGGGAATTTTACATTGCATAGACTGCCTTTCTCCTGTGTTGACGTTATCTGCCTTATATTTATGCTTCGGAAGAAGTCCTTGAAAAGAAATTTTCTCTCATCAAATCTGAGCTTTGTTTTGCCTTATAATGGCCTTGGAATTGCCTGATTCTGCAGGCACCGGACAATATCTTACTTTGCAAAGTCAGCATTATTTACAAGCCCTGAATATCTTGGCTTAAAGGACATATGGATTATTCAGCCCAAGCCGCTGGCTTACAGATGAGGGAACCGAGTTCAAAGAGATTGGGGCCAGTCCCCGTGGCTCACGTCTGTAATCCCAGCACTTCTGGGAGGCCGAGGCGGGTGGATCACTTGAGCTCAGGAGTTCGAGACCAGCCTGGCCAACATGGTGAAACCCTGTCTCTATTAAAAACACAAAAATTAGCTGGGTGTGTGGTGGCACGTGCCTGTAGTTGCAGCTGCTCGGGAAACTGAGGCAGGAGAATCTCTTAAACCCAGGAGGCAGAGGTTGCAGTAAGCCGAGATGGTGCCACTGCACTCCAGCCTGGGCTGTAGAGAGAGATTGAAAAAAAAAAAAAAGAAAAAAGGAAAAAAGGAGATCGGGTGACTTGCCTGTCACATAGTGGCAGACAGGATTAGAACCCTCCTCTTCAAGGTCCTGCTGTCAGAGCCCAATGATATTACAGGGGAAACTCTCTCACTCACTGCTTCAAAGTCTTCCTCACTCACTCCAGAAGCATTTTTACCTTTGATAGGAACAAAACTCTCCATTCAAATTATATGCCATAATTCATGGCATTAAATGGCTAGCCATGGTCTGTGCAACACTGATAACACAAGGTTTATGGCAACAAGAGCAGCACAGGAATTTTTTCATAACTCTCAGATATTTCATTAAGCCAAATCAGAGGAAAATTCATCCTTGGTGATATATATGGATATATTCTGTTGTATTAAGAAATAAGAAATATAATTTTTAGAAAAACAATAATAGAAGATTCTCATTCCTCCTTTCATTCCAGGATGTAAGCATAACATCATTTAGGTTACTTCATTTTGACAACAGAGAACATCAAAGAATAATCAAAGCCCTAATAAGTACTCTTCCTAAAATTGGAATTGGCACAGATGACATGATGTTTTCATTTTCTCATAGGATAATTTTTGTCCATGATTTTGTGGAAGAATAAACCTTATTTAGAGAGTCATGATACCAAATACAATGTTTAAAATAGTTGTGGATATCTTTAACTTACACTGTATAAACAGATTTCATTTTGATCATTTCATTTGGTGCTTCCCAAAGCTTGAATTATTTAGAACAAGTGATAGTTCCCTGGTTTAAAAAGATAAATAATGCCTACAGTGGTTAAATGATGTATAGGGTCAGTATCCTGTCACAACAGGCCAATGGAGGTAGTTAGGTCCTTTGCTATATGACAACACTTCCTTCATATCTAAATATATAAAATCGGTAAACTCATTAGAACACCATGGCCAAGGATATTCCAGTATACTACTTCTACTTACGTTTTTAAAGAAAGTTAACTATAAAACAGTCCCAGGCAGGTCCTTCAGGAGGTATTCCAAAAGAAGGCATTGTTATTACAGGAGATGACAGCTCCATGTGTGTTATTGTCCTTGAAGACCTTACAGTGGAACAAGATGTGGAGGTGGTAGACAGTGATATCAATGTTACTAGCCCTATGTAGACTAGAACTATGTAGAACTAACTTGGTAGGTTAATGCTTGTGTTTGTGTCTTAGTTTTAAATAAAATGTTTAAAAAGAAAAAATAAAACAAAAATTTTAAAAACAGAAAATAGTGTATAGAATAAGAATTTAAAGAAAATATTTTTGTATAGCTATACAATGTGTGTTTTAAGCTAATGGTTATTTACAAGAGAGTCAACAAGTTGAAAAATTAAAACATTTATAAAGTTAAAATGTTACAGTAAACCAAGGTTAATTTATTATTGAAGAAACAAAAATATTTTTTATAAATTTAATATATCCTGAGTCTACAGTGTTTATGAGCCACTAGTCTACAAAATACACAAAGAACCCTTAAAACTAAGCCATAAGAAAATGAACAACCCAATTTAAAAATGGACAAAAAAACTCAATAGACACCTCACTAAAGAAGATATACAGGTGGTAAATAATTACATAAAAACAAGCATACACCATAAGAGAAACTGCAAATTAAAATAAAATAAGATACCACTACATACCTATTAGAAAGGCCATTATCCCAAAGGCTGTCAACACCAAATGCTGGTGAGGTTGTGGAGGAACAGAAACTCTCATTCATTGCTGGTAGGAATGCCAAATGATACAGCCACTTCGGAAGACAGTTTGGCACTTCTTTACAAAACCTAAGCATACTCTTAGCACATGTGATCATTAGTTTTATGTATCAACTTGACTCGGTCATGGGTTGACCAGATACTTAGTCAAACATTATTCTGGGTGTTTCTGTGAAGGTGTTTTTGGATGAGGGTACTATTTAAATTGGTAGAACAAGTAAAGCAGATTGCCCTCCATAATGTGGACAGGTCTTCAATCGGTTGAAGACCTGAATAGAGCAAAAGATTGACTCTCCCTGAAGGAAAAGACAACTTTTCTGCCTGTCAGGCTTCAGACTGGAACACTGTCTCTTCCTGGTTCTACAGCAGCCTGGCAGCCTTTGGACTCAAACTGGAACATTAGCTCTGCAGATTTTGGGCTTACCACCTCTGTAATTGTGTGAGCTAATTTCTTATAATAAATCTCTTTATAATGTATATACATCCTATTGGTTCTGTTTCTCTGGAGAATCTTGACTAATATACCATATGATCCAGCATTTGCATTCCTTGGTATTTACACAAAGGAGCTGAAAACATATATCCATCCAAAAACCTGCACATGGATGTTTATAAGAGCTTTAGCCATAATTGCCAAAACCCGGAAGCAACCAAGATTTCCTTCAGTAGGTGAATGGATAAACTGCAGTACATCCAGACAATGGAATATTCATCACTTTAAAAATGGGCTATCCTGGCTGGGCGCAGCGGCTCACACCTGTAATCCCAGCACTTTGGGAGGCCAAGACAGGCAGATCACCTGAGGTCAGGAGTTCGAGACCAATCTGACCAACACGGTGAAACCTCATCCTACTAAAAATACAAAAATTAGCCAGCTGTGGTGATGAATCCTGTAATCCCAGCTACTTGGAAGGCTAAGACAGAAGAGTTGCTTGAACCCGTGAGACGAAGTTTGCAGTAAGCCGAGATTGTGCCACTGTACTCCAGCCTGGGCAACAGAGCAAGACTCCATCTCAAAAAAAAAAAAAAAATAGAAAAAGAAAAAAGAAAAGAAAAGGAAAACAAAAGAAAGGGGCTATCTGGGCGTGGTGGCCCATGCCTGTAGTTGCAGCTACTTGGGAAGCTGAGGTGGGAGAACTGCTTGAACCTGGGAGGGAGAGGTTGCAGTGAGCCAAGATTGCACCACTACACTCCAGCTTTAAGTGCATATTACTAGGTGAAAGCAGCCTATCTGAAAGTCTCCATACTGTATGATTCCAACTATATGACAATCTGAGAAAGGAAAAACTATGGGAGACAGTGAAAACATCAGTGATTGACAAAAATTGCAGGCAGGAAGGGATGAACAGGCTGACCACAGAGGATTTTTAGGGAAGTGAAAATACTCTGTGATACTAGAATGGTGGATATATGTCATTATAATTTGTCAAAATCCATAGAATGTAAAACACCAAGAGAGAAACCTAACATAAACTATGGACTTTGGGTGATAATGATATGTCAATGCAGGTTCATAAATTGTAACAAATGTGCCACTCTGGTAAGGATGTCAATTAAGAAGCAGGGGGCGGGGGGGGCAGAGTCTGCATGTGCTGAGCAGGGTGTGTACTGGAACTATGTACTTTCCACTCAGTTTTGCTGGGAATCTAAGATTGATCTAGAAAATAAAGTCTATTTTTTTTAATGAGCAAACGATTTGGATAAACATTTATCCAAAGAAAATATTTACATGGCTACTAAGCACATAAAAAGATGCTCAACATTATTAGTTACTAGGT